GTGACCGGTTTTGCGCATGACACGTATCATATTGTGAACAATTGTGGCAAGTATTTACAAAATCCCTTCAAAGATAAGAAAGTTATGGACCGGACATGACATTACCATAAAATAGACAATGTTGACCTTGAATGAGCAAGTGCGACCTTGACCTTGGAGTTAGGGGTCTGGTTGTTGCGCATGACACATCGTCTTATTATAACAAACATTTGTGCCAAGTTATTTCAGATTCCTTTGATAAATGACATAGTTATGGACCGGACACGAAAGTGTGACGGACGAACGGACGGATGGACAGACAGATATTTACCCCCCCGGTGATATACATTCTAAATATTTCTTAAATATAAAAATAAATATATAGGAACAAAAACTTGAAAAAAGATCAAAGAACATAATATATGACAGATTCCATTTATCAACTTTGTTTGACGTATGGAACTCATCATTGTACTGCTGATATTTGTTTTGATATTTAACCCCCAGTGATATACATTCTAAATATTTCTTAAATATAAAAATAAATATATAGGAACAAAAACTTGAAAAAAGATCAAAGAACATAATATATGACTATCTGATTTCCTGATTCACACTAATCTTGTGTTTAGTTTCAGTCAAAAATTTTACAAATGTTAAATCTACCAAAATGAATGTTGAAAAAAATACTGACAGATAAACTCATTTGTCTCTAAATTTGTTCCAAATCCAAATCAAAGCATTAATTGGAAAACAAAAATCATATCACCCAGTATACCCAGATCATATCACCAGGTATACCCAGATCATATCACCCGATATATCCAGATCATATCACCCGATATATCCAGATCATATCACCCGATACACCCAGTTCATATCAAACGCTATACCCAGAAAATATCACCAAATATACCCAGATCATATCACCCGACATTCCCAGAGCTTATCACCAGGTATACCTAGATCATATCACCCGGCATACCCAGATAAAATCACCCGATATACCCAGATAATATCACTCGGCATACCCAGATAATATAATCGGTATACCCAGATCATATCACCCGATATACCCAGATCATATCACCCGATATACCCAGATCATATTACCCGGTAAACCCAGATAATAATACCCGATATACCCAGATAACATCACACGATATACCCAGATCATATCACCCGATTGACCCAGATCATATCATCCGGCGTACCCAGATCATTTCACCCGTATACTTAGATCATATCAGCCGGCATACCCAGATAATATTACCCGATATACCCAGAATATATCACTAGATATACCCATATCATATCACCCGATATAATTACCCAAATCATATTACCCGTTATACCCAGATCATATCACCCGGTATATCCAGATTATGTCATCCAATATACGCAGATCATATCTCCTGGTATACCCAGATCATATCACCGGGATAATTATCCAGATCATATCACCCGGTATATCCAGATCATATCACCCGGTATATCCAGATCAAATCACTCGTTATACCCAGATCATACCACCCGGTATACCCAGACCATATTACCCGATATACCAAGATCATATCATCCGGTATACCCAGATCATATCACCCGATATACCCAGATAATATCATCCGGAATACCTAGATAATATCACCTGACACATGCCGATTACAAATGAGTGATTTATAAAATACAAATTAAAATCAAAGGAGTTCTCATGTTGTTTTTATCTGCTTTACTGCTATAAGTATAAGATTTTTTGATGTCATTTTCGCCGAAACCTTGATTAATGAATGCATAAATATCATGAAGTCGCATTTCAATAGAAATCAGTGCAGTTTAACCAATAATCTACTACTACATTACACATCAATCAGACACCTATTAAGCTGATTTTTTCAACAATATTTTTATCATAAAAACATGAATTACTTAAATTATTTCCTCTATAAACACCAGAAGATAACATCGAAAGCGAAACAAGTTGATACAACTTTAGGGAAATATGTGCTTCTGTTATCATCTAATCTTTGTATTTACGCTATTGTTTATATTTACTATATAATTATATTTGATTGATTTGACTGATAAGTACATCATGTTCTTTCGTGACTACTTCTCATGTACTACTAATGCATATTTAATTACACTTTACAGGATTGTTCGGTACCTCAATACTTGCAGATATTAAACGGTTTTCCGGTTCATATTTGATCTGTATTTCGAGTAATTGTGCATATTAAACTGGTTTTACGATTGAATAATTTTGACCGAGTTATGGCCTTTGAATAAAAAACCTACGTAAGCCTTTTAATGATTTTTGTGTTTCCTGCTACATACACTTGGCCATCAGCGGACAGATGTGATAATTGATCGACCTTGTATTACAGTCAGTCACTATACAATTCATTAAACATTTGTGTTCTTTTTTCAATTGAAGAATACAATCAGGACTTCTTTAAAAGTAGACATTGTTGTTTTTTTTTTAAAGTTGGCATATGTCTAGGTAAATGAACGTAAACAGAATACACTTTACCATTTCTTGAAATTTTTCACAACCATTCAAACAGAAGTCAGTTAACATGAAGAGCAGAAAGATGATGTCTTGGTTACCTTGATTAAAATTTATCTGCCCTTGAAGATAGCAAAATTTCTATTATCAAGGACAGATTACTCGAGACCACCAATTTATTTCGTCTGACTTGTTTTAGTTATAATATTCTATGACCATGCACATTTCAAATAAAATCTTTTAAACAATTTTAATTCTGCCTGCATGCCTATATGTCACTGTAGCATATATCTTTTAATTCATAAACAATTTAAATAGCTAAGAAGAATATAAAACATTTATTACCTTCCATATTTACAACTAAATCAAATCTATTCCGTTTAGGAACCTCGATTATTGACTGTTTTAAAACACAGTTGAGATAGTTATTAATTTGTAGTACATAAAATAACGTGACATAAATCTACCGATAATGTTGCTGTGTTACATGTGTTATCCCTTTATCACGTGACAATATAATATATTACATATAATTATATTTCTTTGCAACATGACATAAGTATACATTAATGATGTTAATCGATATTCAAGTACATGTATCTATTTACATACTTTTACGCAAGGAAACATACTTTATAATTATCATCTTGTTTAACTTCCGTATAGAAAATAGCTATCAATTCTAAAAAAATATTAAATTTCTTTTGAGAAAGTAATGTGACAGCTTTAGCAGCTGTATAAAAAGGGTTAGCCATTTTATGTTATATATTAATGTTGTACAAGGATACATTTAACTGACAGACTGACATATTGTAATATGTAATAAATAAATGAGCCGCGTCACGACAAAACCAACACAGTGCGTTTGCGACCAGAATGGATCCAGACCAGACAGCGCATCCGCGCAGTCTGATCAGGATCCATGCTGTTTGCTTTCAAACTCTATTACAAGTAGCGAAACCGATAGCGAACAGCATGGATCCTGATCAGACTGCGCGGAAGCGCAGGCTGGTCTGGATCCATGCTGGTCGCAAACGCACTATGTTGGTTTTGTCGTGACGCGGCTCAAATGTTGAATTACAACATCAAACAGGAACGTCTTTAATTGAACAAAATACCACTGGATTTTACACAAATGATTCATCTCGTTTGCGTAGAGAACATTAATTCAACTGATAATAAGAGGTATATTGAGCTGATATTAACAAAATGGTTACAAAATATTACATTTACTGTTAAATTATCATTGCGAGCATATGAATGTAATATATTAAATTTAAAATTACCTTCCATATTTACGTGCAAACCGAAGATAAAGTAATGATAAAACGTTCTAAATATAACCATTCCATGTAGAAACACACTTAATTAGTTAGTTCTATTTTAAATATAACACATTAATAAAATACAATACAATATGTTTTAAACGTAATAACTATATATAACTAATCAATTGAATACAGCAGTTTAAGGTTAAAAATAGATAGTTATACGATTGATTAATTCAGCTACTTAATTCATACAATGAGGAAAACCTGCACTGTTATATCGATAATATTCTAGACAAATGCAAATCTGCATCCGTTGAATTTCTTTGGGATAAATTAATTTATCGGTCATAAACCTCTTAATATAGTTAAAGGTGGTGGTGGTGGGGGTGGCGGCGATGGTATTGGTAGTTTTCAACCCGAATCACGACAGTAAGCCACATTGAATTTACCAGAACACAGCTCAGCCACCGCATCGGCATTGACGGATTTGTATCAGAGGAAACCAAACAAAGATGTAAGCTGATTCGGGTGAAATTAAACATGGATTAAAATTAGTTTTACTGGATTTCAATAATAAAAATGTTTATGTTACATGTTTCTGTTTATTTCTTTCATTACAACATGATAAAATAAATCATTATCTTTTGTTATTCTATGTAATTTTCGGTTGTTTTCAAAGAATATAATAAAATGAAAAATTTACTTTGATGTTGACATAGTGCAAGATTTTTTAGATTGTAAAATCATTTCCTCGTTACAAATATTGTCAGTTTTGAACATGCATTTACACTGGAAGATTATATATCATTATCTACGTCTTAGATTTACGGTTATTTACGGCTAAGTCACTCTGTGGTCATTGATTAAATGAAAAGATAACAGGATTGATATGAAACTATAAACTGTAAGAGCTATCTCTATAAGGTACATATTAAAGTATTTCTTCGATTAGCCCTCTTAGGGTATGGACATTGGTCTTGCGAGCGACACATTGTTTTAATGCTATATTATAATATACTTTTGTCAAGGTATGAAATAGAAACCGGACAGACGGACGGACAGATCGAGACGGTGCAATTTAATAAGCCTATTTTCGAGAGCATAATAATGAAACTAACTGATGTTTTAAAAAAATATATCAGGCTTATTTAATAAGTACAATGAAACATATCTTTTTTAACTAATGAGTCTACATTATAACCAAATTAGATATTTTTAATATATTATGTATTTAATCTAATTACCTTCCATTTTTATGCCTGAACCGAAAGCGGAATTTCAAATTTTGTATATATATTATCCCATATATATTATCCCATATAGAAATGCACACGATTAGGTGTATACTATATATATGTTATTATAATTCAATATGTTAAATAATATAAAACAAATGTTGGATTTATGCCAATAATCATAAATCACTAACATAAAAAATGTTAAATAACATGAACCATATCGATATATATTCTATTCTTATTTGTTACATAAAAACCGGTATACTCGTAATTGTATCTATTTTGTGAATAAAGTAATGTCGTGTATGTGTGTTTCCAATTATACAATAATAATGTATAAAATCAGATTGTTAAACCCGCGTGAATAATAAATTGTTAAGGTCAGTGCATGATAATATAGGCCCTTTATATTGAAATTTTACCTTATCGTTCTGTTTAATAATTGATTGATACTGTTCAGCAAACTTTCTTTAATGAATTGTAAGATACCAATACATGAGCTGTTATTCTTGCCGTTATTTATGGTGGCTGATTTGTGCCATTTGTGTTTTCGCCCGCGCCCCGCCATTTTAACTTGTTAATTTTCGACTTTTCGCTTGGCGGGGTCGCGGGACGAAAACACGCTAATTAGCGGGGCCGCGGGGCGAAGTTTTATTTAATTAAAGATCGCCCCGCGCCCGCGCCGTTTTATTTATTAATTCTCGCTCCGTGCCCTCGCGGGGCGAAGTTTTATTTGTTAAACTTCGCCGCGCGCCCCCGCTAATAAGCGTGTTTTCGCTCCGCGACCCCGCCATTTAAAGTTGTTAATTCTCGACTTTTCGCTTGGCGGGGTCGCGGGCGAAAACACGCTAATTTAATTATATTAAACTTCGCCCCGCGCCCCCGCCGTTTTATTTCTTAATTTTCGCTCCGCGCCCTCGCAGGGCAAAGTTTAATTTGTTAAACTTCGCCGCGCGCCCTCGCGAATAAGCGTGTTTTCGCTCCGCGACCCCGCCATTTTAACTTGTTAATTCTCGACTTTTCGCTTGGCGGGGTCGCGGGACGAAAACACGAATGGCACAAATCAGCCACCATAGTTATTTGACATTACAATAGGCTAATGTTCATTGGTTATCATGTCCAACATTAAATTCTCTATAACTGGATTTTTATTCATTTTTTAAGAAAAGAAAAAAAGGAAGAGCAATATAGGGGAGCGGGAGCGCTAGAAGACTCAATAAATCTTTCTTTTACGACATCCTTGTGTGTATACAAGTAAACTTAAAAAAACCTACATAAATCAACTACAAACATTTATTTGAATGCAACATACAGACATGTGTAGTAAATGGAAAGGAAACAATACTTTTGTTTTGTTTTTTATTATATTGCTTGTGTGAAATTTGACTACTAAGTTTATATGCATGCCAAGCACCCATTGAACGACTGTATAAATTAAAATTATGAAAATTTTCATATATAGATTCTATATCTGTATATCAAAGTTATGTTTTTTTAAAAAAAAAAAAAAAGACACAAGAAATTAAAAATAATGATTAATCCATTAATGCTGCTTTATGGGAAAAAAAAAACAAACAATAATTAAAGAAATCTGAAAAATATTGCTTGTTGAAGATTCGAACTTGCAACTTTGCGACTGCTATGCTATCATATTTTACAATTGGCCATCGGAACGTTAGTATAAAATAAAGTATCGAAAACTTTCCAATCTTTAACAATCAATTGGTATTTCGCAATAAATTACGGAAATCAACGAAAAAAGCTTCCGAAAATTAATGAGTCTCAGGTCAGTATTGCTAAGCTATTGCTATAATAGTCATTACTTAAATAATATTAAATATCATCATTTCTTATAACATCATTTCAACTATCACTATTTCTATAGCAATCATTTTGTCATCATCATCAGTATCATCAAACAATCATCACCAATTCATCATCATCATCTTGAATAAATTAACCATTGTTTCTTTGATAATCATTTCTACTGTAATGTAGTAAATTATCATCACATCTGATATCATTCCAAGTTATCCCCATTTTCATGTCAATCGTTTTGTTATGATCATGACTAAAACTTATAAATCATCATCATCATCATCATCATCATCAATTTAATAAAGAAATTATGACAAGTTTCGTTTGTTGTTAAATTGTATTTTCAAATATTTCCTTTCCAAAACGGTTCAATAATTCAGTACGAACGAGAAATACACACATTATACATATCATATACTATGATATATTATTTCCAAGTGCGATTAAGCAACTGCTGACACACGAAACAAACAAATTTACATTTTCCTGTGGTTCTGGGGAAGGTTACTTTTTTTCTTGCTAGTGGTAGGAGACAAAGTCCTTACGTTGCAAAGTTATCAACTTAGACTCTATCGTGGTGTGAAAAAAGTGTGTGGTGCAGCTGTCATTTACACTCTTAATTATGATGACACGATTTTATTCAACTGAAGCATTCGTTCAGTTCTTTTCATTTCTGATTTGTGCTATACTTCCACATGCAACTTAAGTTCAGCTATTTGATAACTTCCAGTAAATATTCAAATATGTTTTTTTCTTGATGTTTTTAGTAATGAAAGAAGCATGCAATAAAAACATATACACACGAGCTATATGGTTGTAAAACAGAAAAAAAAGGAAAAAAAGATCGACAAGGAAGTGAGATGTTCACATCTAGCGCAGTCTCAATAAAATCCAGCCATACAGAACCACGACAACAGCACCCAGTAGGACACCGACCAAAAAGCAGAAGAGGACACAAAAGCAGGTTATGTCGCATATAGTAATTTACAACTAAATAAGGAAACCCTAAAAAGTATCAAAGCCATTTGATAAAAAGTGTTAATAAAAGGAAGTAAAATAACACAATGATATAAAATTATTTAGTATATTTATATCTGTTACTATTAAATATGTTGAATCTTGATGTAGTTTTACATTTGACTCAAACAATGATAAGAATACGTCTGCAACCAAAAGTGCTTTGAGTAAAGTTTGTAACCAAAATGCGCTGAAATAGATAATATTGTGTACTTTATTTAAAACATGCAAATAAAAACATTGATACAGTGCATACTAGTATTGTTTTTCTTGTTTGATGAACTTCAACAGTATTTTAGATAAATGAGTGGAAAAAAACGACCATAAAGTCAATTGTCATATCTCAAGAAATGTATATGACAAGTTTACATCTTCTATGACTTTGTCAACTGAAAAACTAGGAAGCTGATACCAAAAACCAAGTGTTTTAAAAATGCATCAATTGGTGGATATTTTCAAAAAATCAAAATATCACACCCATTTACCCGGACAAAATTTGATCGGATGTTATAAGTTTTCAAAACTCGGCTGTCATTTTGTCAAGGTTGCAACCACCACTACACACCCTGCCCTTGCAGATTGGAGAATGGTTTAAAAATTATCCTGTCAAGTATGACATGACTTTGAATTTATCTTAGAAAAAAAAACACGCATTATTTGCTTGACAGGTGGACTTTTAGAACAATCAATATAAGGCTGTAAATGATCCTATGAAGTTTTCATCGGTACCCTTACTTTATTGAAAACAATAAAAAAACAACAAAATATATCTACTTGTATTTAAGATTGTTACATGACTATTTTACCATTACTTATCGTGGATAATTGAATATTACATCAGAAAAAGAAGCAGATAGATATTGAAATGTTAGTTAATATTCACCGAGAAAAAAAATATTAAAAGTGCATCCAACTGAAATATGATTAGGTATATATTGCAACTTTAATTGGGTCATAAAGATATTATAATTGAGAAAAGACAAGACAAAATTATTAATTGCAATTGATAAAAGACCAGATCAATGCTGAAACTGAGTTAAGACCAGATAAATGTTGCTAGTGAATACCACATAGCTACAACAACTAAAATCACAAGATAAATATTGCAATTGAGAAAGGACTAGATAAATATTTATAAAAAAGAAAAAATGATTAAAAGTGCAACTGAGAAATGACAAAATAGAAACAAAACATAACAATTAATAAAGACATGATAAACCTTTTATTTACACCGGCTTAAGCAAAATTCAACATTTAAACATTTTGAATAAAGAATCATCCGCTTATGTGTTCATATGACAATGATAATAGAACCTTCAATGTGTCAAATTCATGACCATCCATAAAAAGCTGAGTATGGTCCAACATCTGACATTCTTTGTCGTTTCATTTATTTCTTTCAGTTGTAATATTGTTTAAATGTATCCGCCATTTATATACATGTAATACATTTCGTTGTCAAAGAAAACAAGTTGTCTTTTGAAAATAAAATTATATGATAAAATTTGCTTTATTTGGTATAGCGAGACATGTAAATATTCTCCACTCGAATGTTCAAGATACGGATGTCTATGTATAGTATAGTAAACTATCAAACATAAATTTTGAGTAAAGGGAGACAATCTATTGACCCCACGCGGAAATTAAGAATGTTGAGTTTGCTAACCTGCAATGACCATTCTAAAGCATATATCCACTATCCCCAGGCTTTCCACTGGAGTGGATGGGCAGGCATTGTGACTGACTGAAGTTTTAACCTTGTGAAATAGCTACAGTTCCACTTTAACGCAGAGGGACTTTGCTCGTTGACAGACTCAAACTTTGAGAACATTATGAGTTGTTCATATAAGCAGGACCACAATACCTACATGATTTCGTCAAGTATACATGTAGAACAATGATTCTCAAAAATGATTAATTGCTTCTTTAACATACAGGTTATCTACACCGGTAATAAATGGTCATATCTTGGAAATTAATCCCTTCACAATTCGAATTTTTGATAACAGTAGAGTAATCATAACATATCGTGTAAGTTTTTTTTATAATTAAAATAACCCATGTTTCATAAATGAAATGATATTGTTTGTACAATGTTATTCCAAAATTATAAAAATTTGTAAATGTTTCGTAGCCGTTAAAACATTTCTGTTTAAAGGTGATATATTAATTTTGATTCAAGTCAAACGCAATCACCCAATTATGTAAAAAATATAAAGGTTTAAAGAGTAAGTAAGTAAAGTAAGTAAGTAAA